TTCGGTGTATAACCTTAAAATATCCTGATGACAAGTGAAAAATGAAAAACAATGCAGATATTTGTCATATTCCAAACAGACTCTGGATATTGTAAATACACAGCCCATCAGTTCTCTGTGGCAAATAGGAATAGGGAAGGCAAAACACACCAAGCTAGAGAAAGATATTTAGGAAAAAAACACAAAATGGTAAATCATTGTACTGCTGACAGTTCTTAAATTTGAACTTAAAGCTCTCAACAGCAAAAGAGTTATTTTTCAACAAGTCAAACTATAAACTTAATTTATGTGGGGTCCTGAGTTATGGACCCAAAGCAAAGATGGCATACATATATAATTTTGAGTGAACTCATTTTATTCACTTTATTAGTTTCACTCAAATTTTTGTATTTAATTGCCAACTCTCAAGAGCAAATGCCTAATATCTACTGAGTTCTTTTTTATTTGATGGTCTGTGTGCGTATGTGTGTATGTGTGTGAAATATGACCTAACACACAGGGTAGTGAATAGTTTATTGTAAAGTACAGCATCCATACTAATGCGCATTTTTGTTGCTTTTATCAGAAAGACAGCGTGAGTCTCCTTGAGATAGTGTTTGTCTCACTCCTGGGTATGACAGTATGATGTATATGATCTCTCATGCTCATTTCCTTCATGCGCTCTTTGCCCTACTAGAACAGGCATGAGATGATGGTAATCTTAAAAAAACTCAACACGATTTGTTTATTACTGAAGGTTTATTTAATGCTGTCACCATGACCTGTATCCATTAGTAACCTCACAGGTTCTTAAAGGGACACCAGTAACAATACCTGACTTTTTAAAAATGCTACTGAGCTTCAGTAAAAGTCTACGTAAAAGATGCTGCTTTGCTCCTTCTCCGCAGCCTTCCCATCCCTTTTGAGATTCATTTTTAGTTTTTTCCACACATAAAAAAATCTCAGGACCCTTTCAGTAAGCCGATGTTACATAGTAAGGTACACTAAAGAAAGTAAAAATGAAAATGCTCTATGATCTTTTTCAGTGGGATTAAATTCTTGGGGTTTGACTTGGCTTTGAAATGGTGATTTACTAACATGGAAAGAAAAAAACCCACCTGAAAGTAGTAGTTGTTTCCTCAAATCCATTACAGGTAACAGTAGTTGCTATACTGACTGTATTATCCAGCTACCCAGTGAGTTGAGCTTCTGGGAGGTTATTACAAGCACCGTATGGGATAAACTCAATGCCTGTGGCATCCAACAAGGAGTTCAGCATTTGCCCAAGTGCTCCCTGGGCAAACAGCCCCATGGATGAAAAGACGACTCAGGTGTGGGGGCTGAAAAACACATACCTTCCTCTCACCTTCTCAATTCTTCTAGCTGGACTAGTAATCAAATTAACAGAAACAGATTGACAGGAGAAAATGTACAGTTTATTTGGGATGTACATGCCAGGGGTGTCATAGATGTGGACCTGAAACCCATTGGGCAGCTGAGGCTTACATGTCATTCTGGAGCTAAGAAGGAAAAGGCGCAGGGGTGTGGGGTTTAGAAAAGGAAGCAGGGAATTCACAGGTAGCTGAGAAAGAGCTGGTGTGAGGCAAACTGATTCCTGCCAGAAGAGATGGGGTACAAGAAGGAATCTAGCCAGCAGGTCCCTGCTTGGATCCTTCCTATCTACCATGCTTAATTCAAATTGGGCTAAGGTGGACATCCTTAAGGCGAATATGCTAAGATTCCCTTCCTCAAGCAGGCCTTTTCATATGAATTACCTTAGGCAGGAAAGGGAGAGGGACAAAGGTTCTGTCTGAGTCGTTTGATTCTTAATAACCACTTAAAATGAATATCCTAAAAGGCACAATTTGAGGAGGCAAAACTTTGCTCCCCTTCACAGGCAATAGAGCATTTACTGATGAGGCCTCACATCCCAGTGCACGAGCAGAAAGCTCCCACTTTCTTCCACCTGGATGACACAGGCCTGTTCATCAGTCCTGCAGATTAAGCTTGCTGGGCCACGGAGTTTAACTGTTCAAAATCATGGGAAGTGTTGGCAAAAGAGATGCATGGAGCACTACGTTTTTGAAGCATTTTATTTGTCCACTTAAAGGTGTCCAGATACGAGGCTTATTAGAAAGAGTCATGTCCATTATTAACCACAATTTGACCATAGTGGAATTACTCCATAGACTTCAGTGCTATGCTATGGCGTACCCAGGATTCAGTGGTGAAGTTGAGGGGCCGGGCTGGAGACTTCCAGCGGCCGCATTGAGAGCACTGTTAAGCACCCCTCTCACTCAAAAAGCACACCAATTTCCCAGCCAGGAAAAATGAGCCTTGGACTCTTCAAAATAATGCAAGCCATTTTGGAATACCAAATATACAGATAGCTGAATTAATCTCCCCACCTTCTGTATCCGTTTTCTAGGTCTGCTGTAACCATGTACCACGGACTGGGTGGTCCACACAGCAGAAACTTACTGTCTCATAGTTCTAGAGACCAGAGGTCTGTGATCAAGGTATCAATGACGTCGGTTCCTTCTGAGGACCCTGACAGAGGACCTCCCTCCTTGGCGTGTGGTTGGCCATCTTCCCCCGTGTCCTCACATGGTCTCCCCTGTCTGTGTGTCTGTGTCCTAATCGCCTCCTCTTATAAAGATGCCAGTCAGGTTGGATTAGGGCCCACTCTAATGACCTCGTTTAACTTAATTACCTCTGTAAACACCCCCATCTCCGAGCAAGGCCAAATTCTGAGGTCCTGAGGTTTAGGCCTTCAAAATTGAATTTGAGGGAAACAATTCAGTCAGAAAACTTTCCTTTAAGTATTTTTGTGTCAGCACACCCTTTTAGTTACTTTGTTCCTGGTTTTCTCCATAAAAGAGTAAGACAAGCAGATTAAGGACTGAGTTTGGGAGAGTTAGTTCATGCCTGTGCTTCTTTAATTCCTTTAACTTCAGTAGAGGAAAAAAAAACAAACAAACAAATTATTATATCAGACTGGAACTAGAAAGTCAGAGTAGGCAGAGGGACAGACCAGGACACAAGCAGATAACGAGAGGCCCTACTCAGGGGCGGGCTGGTTGGGGAAGCCTTGCAGAACCTGGACTAAACGCAGGACCAGTCCCACAATGACGTATCTATAATGAAAGTGATCCTAATCATAATAATACTAACACAACATGAGCTTTAAGCCCAGGGTATTTAGAAGATCTTGCCTTCAATTCACAAGTGAAGGAAAGTTGACTCCATCTTGAACGCTCACAGACCGGAAAGAGTCTTTGGTTCCCCCTCACACTGCTGAAGAGCAAGGAGGAAGCTCCCAGGTGGTCCTTTACGAATGGGAGTCTCTGCATTCAATTTAAACTCAGTAACAAGACTGTCTAGCACAATGCAGCCCGCTTTTTTTGAATCAAATGAAGGATGATACTCAGTTTTGACTCTTGCTTGGAAGAGAAAATGGTCGTAAAAATCTCCAGGGATTTGTAACCTAACATGTGCAAGAGAACTATTAATTATGTGCTTTTGTTCCCAATCTGGCAACTTTTCCCTCACACTTTTTTTCTGCACAAACATCTGAAGAAAATGCTTAGAAAAGATGGGCAATAGTGCTATAAAGGAGAAAGAGTGGTTTCCTTTTAAAGGCGGGGAGGAGAGTTTCTTTTGAGGATGAGAAAAACACATTAACACTTTGAACCATGGGCCTTAGTGAAGTATGATGAATTCTTAAGAGATGGTCCTAGCATCTTATTTGAACTTAGTACTAACAGAATGGATTTACGTCATCCTCTTCCTGAGAAAGCACAAATTAGACCATCCCAGACTCAGCAAATGTCTAAAACACCATCTGTTGCTATGTTGAACCATTTGACAGGAGAGGAGACGGCTGACAAAACTACAAAGCACCGTTAGACACAGAATTACCCACTCTGAGCCCTTTGCTTGGGGCCTGGAGGAGGGAAGGAGCTTTGCGGGTGCCTAGTTGGGATGCTTGGATTATTAGAGTCTTACGAAGTGTCAAAGCATGGATACAGCTCATTTATGTAACTTTGCTGAAGCAAGATAGATTACACAGAAGTGTCAGAGATGGCTGAAATAAGGAATATTTTAATGCTGCTTTGAAGGGATTTTTCTTCTAAAGCACACACAGCCATCATTAGATGGTTGTTTATTTGCTAAACTTTCATTGAACTGAATGTAAATTTAAACAAGCCTCTAAAGCAAGGGTGGGTTTGCAGTCACCCCTATCACACCAGAATTCAACTCTGTTTCAGAAGTATTATAGGAAAAAAATTTCCCTGGAAATAAAATACCTGTAAAACATAACACATGGCAAAATTCGGCATTGCCTTTATCCTGGATACCTTTTGGCAGTGGCAGCTGCTGCCTCTGAACATCAAATGTCCTCTTCAGACAGTAACTGTGCATGAGCAGGGACTGGCCTTTGGTAATGAAGGAATGGCTTCCCAGATATGCCCGGTGAACAGCGGTTTGATTAGATCATCTGGACTTTAATAAAGAAGAATGGGAGCAGAACAGGATGAGACCCAACGCTTTGGCTTTGCAGCCAGAACGGAAAACACTCGTCCAACCTCAAAAGCAAATCCCTCTGGGTTTTCCCTGCGACTCCAAGTTGACCCACGACGACAAAGCCCGAGGGAGCAGTTAGCACAGTAGCTGAGAGCACCGTCCTGTCCATGATTTTTAGAGTGACACGTGCGATGTGGCCACACTGGCTTTCAGCACCGCTCCCGGAACTCCGGAGCCTACGGCCCGGTCTCCCGACGGCTGTGCCCGAAACAGCCGGTAGATGGCGCACCAAGCCACCCACTCAGCCAAGCGAACCAAGAGCAGCTTCTGCCGGCGAGGCAGGCAAGGACTTTGATTCATAAAAAACATAAATTCTACTTGATGAACAATAATAATAAAGGAAATTGACTACTGGGCACCATAGAGATGAATTTTTAAAGCCCCGAAATCAAGTTATTTGAGTTTATTTAATTTAATTTACTAAATTTGAATAACTGTGAGATGTAATGATGCATGGCAGGGCATTTAGGTTTTATGGCTTCTAAATGCTTCTCTTTAGGGTGATTGCACTCAGTTGCATGGTCGCCAGAGAACTTGTCCCCGTCTCCAAGCTGTGTAAACAAATTGAGGATAGAATAATTACGCATTGGGAGAAAGGCAAGGAGAATCTACTGAGGCTAGTGAGAGCCCCAGCTACAAAATTTTCCCCCTTTTCAGGAAATAAAGTACATCAGAAGTACTCAAAGACCAATGTTAAAGCCTTTATTAATATAAGCACGGCACCTAAGCCTAAGCTGAGCGCTTTCCAGGTGCTCGTTGCAGTAGACCCTTATCTCTTAGTAAAACACACAAGATCTAGAACGAAATTTATATTCATATCTAAATTTAAGCTGATGAACACGCATTTCTAATAGCTTCCAAACTGACAAATTAGGACACCACAAAATCTAGAAACTCTCTTCATCCTTTGATCAATGAAATTCTCCTTCAAGCAGACGTAAAATGTCCTTTTATAAAAATGCAGCTCCCATATTCCCTTGCGGGATGTAGCTCCAGCACAGACACATTCTATGTTTGCCCAAATGTGCATGTATATCTGCAAAAGCACAGGGAGATGCACACACACATGTTAATCCAAATATCCACGAGTGTGTATACATATATGGGTATAGATGTACTTTCCATGTACCACTCAGCTTTATTTTTTCAGCATAACTGAATTTGGCACCAGCTCTTTAGCACTTTGGAAGGGCCTTCATTAGCACTGGGATGGTATCCAAAAAGAATCCAGAAAAATCAACACATGGCTGCTCTTGTTCTCACGATAAATGACAGCTTTGGTGGAAAACAACAACAGTCAAGAAGCAAAACAAAAACCAGAAAGCAACAAGAGTAGCAGTAACGTGAATAGAGGAAGTCAGACATCACTAACTCAGATTTTTTTTTAGTTTTAACTTATTTATTTATTCAATTTTTACAACTCTCTTCCTTTGCCTCTAAGCCTCCGGGCACTTTCACACAATTAAAAATATAAATACTGAAAGTATATTAAGAGCCCTGGGGGAAAAAACAACAATCATGCAGGCTTATGTCTCTTTATAGACATAAATAAGCTTATTATATGCTTAAAAATGTGTAAAAGTATATAAGGGGCACATTTATGTAACTGCATTCTTATGATATGGCCAAAAGCTGCCTATTACACCACATCGGCCCCCAAACGGAAGGTTGTCCATTAAACGTGCTACACCAACAATCCACAACTGTTTGAAACAAACTAGAACTCTGAAGAAATGAGCCTTTCTTGGAAAACAGAATCTCCCTGATTACCGAAAGTCATATCGCAAAACTATTAATAGGAATCCTCAGGTAGCCCAGATGCCATAAGAATGTTCAGGAAATGCAGCAATTTCTAAACTAGTCAAAACCAAATAATATCTAATGTGTGTGTGTATGTGTATACCATGTCTTCTAACAGGCAGATAATAAATATCTAATAGTTAGATAATGTCACACACTAAAGAAGCAGTAACCAAATAAACTAAATAAGACTTTGATTTAAAGGGTTAACTCTTTTGCCCTTCAAAGCAATAGTGGAAAACTGAAGTGAGCATGGCCCTTTAAGGCCAGTGGCTCTGCCCAGGAGACAAACCGTCAAGGAAGAAAACCCCATTGGGTCTTAGGAAAAGTGAAGTTATTGTGCTATTCCTTTGCCTTCTCTTTCCTCTGTTTCTCAGTTAGAGTTTGTGAGTTGTCTATATTGGAGGGTTTTGAAATTTTTCAAGGAGAAGGGTAAAAGGAATGAGAAAGCAATGAAAACTTTTTTTTTTTTTTTGAAAAGGGAAGGGAGCAAAGGCATGGGATTCATAACAGGAAAAAGGTGAGTGCAGCATGGGCTAGACTTCCTTAGTGGGGAGCCCTGCACAACGCTGGTAGCAAGGGTCCTAAGAAAAAAGCTGGACACGTGTAGGTAGCAAAAGAAGCATCTGAAAGAGCCAAATCTTAGGCTTAAGATGTTCTAGAATCACGCCTATGGAGTAATTCAAAACACAGGAAGAGCCTGAGATGGTAGATCACAGCAGAGAGGAAGCAAAGCATCTCCGATTAATTCATTCTTTCCACAAATATTTATTAAGTCCTCTGTTGGGACAGGCACCATGTTATGCACTAGGCATGCAAATGTCAATACGATATTGTTTCTCAATGCCTTTCTTACTTAGAACATGGCCACTGCTTTGTCTGACTCCAGACTCGCTGCACAGAATCCTCTCACTCGGGAGGCAGAGGTTCAAAACCTTGTGAGTCTATGGACCAGGAGAAAATTGAGCCCCAGAGCTGAATAGTCTTAAGGGGATGTGTGCCTGTCTCATCACCTCCCCTGACCATTCCACACCAAACACTCAGCCTCTCAGGGGCTCAGCAGTTATTCCAAAATGTGGCCTAAGAATGTGTTGACAACAGTTCCTCCTTAGAAACAGCCTCATTTCACCCTATTATTATGAATAACCTACCACAGTCTCATGTTTGACAGAACGGTCTCACTCTCTGAGAAGGACCAGAAATCTGATTGAAAGGCTTCCAAAAAGATGAGAGATTCCAAGTAGAACTGAGGCTACCTCTCAATGGCCTATTCAACAACCCTTTTCTCTTTCATCTCCCCCTAAGACGAGGATAGAAGCAGCTTGGCATTTGGCAGGGAGACCAGTGTCAACACTCTCTATATTTACTTATTTATTGGCAGTTTGGAAGGCAGCCACCATTTATGGTCCTTCATTCCCAAATCGAGGGAGCAATGATTCCTGCCAACAGCGACTCCAAGCCACCTGACTGGCCTCTCTCTGCACAAGCCAAGAGGGGAATGCATCCAGGACATTCATTGTTGGCCGCCATGTTTATAACACATGTAACACTGCCTCGTAGTCTAAAAGACCCCAACTGGAAAAGAGAGTGGGCTGCAAGCTCTCCAACGTGGTTGAGCTCTCACAAAAGCAAGGTTTGGAAAGATAGAACCCAGCTGTTTCCACAGCCGGCCACACAAACTCCAGTGCAGTCAAGCCCCTATTGCCGTTCTTTTTCGAAGGTGCCACTGGAGTGTAATGTGAAGACCTCGGGGAGGGTCCCAAAGATTTCATGTCTACATGGATGATAACATGTTTGGGAAAACTATCCTTCTGAGAAGAGGTCAAATAAATTGGGATTTGTTTTAATGGAGCAAAATGAGAAAACGAGGAAGAGGATGTCTTTAGAATAATTCTGAGTGAGATTGTCTGCGGAAGAAAGTAGATAGTGGTTTTTAAATTCCAGTGCAGCTAGAAGAGAAACTGGAACATTTTAGAGCTGGATGAGTTTTTAGGGATTATCTAATTTGACCTTTTTATTGAACAGATGATGAAGTTATTGGTTTATTGATTGATTTAGATTCTGGACTAAAGGTAGGTCCCAAAAGTCTGGGTGAAGTGCTCAATTCTCACAATTGGCTGACACCCGCTCCAGCATGATTAGTTTATACAGTATTAGAAGCACAGACATGTTGCCAAAAGCACGTAAGCCACAAGTTAACTTCTAGACCAAGGTAAGCAAGTTTGTTCAGTCAGGAGCAGAGCATACCCTGTGCCAGGAGTCAAGAGACTTCCTGAAATCCTTATGATGAGATAAAACAACTCTTAGTGGGATGCCTAGTATACTGCTTTCGAAAGCAAACTGACTATGGGAGAGGGTACAGAACAAGTTCGGCCAGTCCGAGGCAGAAGAGAGTGAGGTTTTATTAAGTGCTGGAGCGAGCCTAGTTATGAAATCCAAATTGCCTTCTAGACAAGCAGTTCAGCTGCGGCTCCCGAGGTTGTCCACACTTATAGGCAATTTCATGGGAAGCTAGCTGTGGACATACCACGTGAGTTCCTAAAGTTCAGTTGGCCTCCACCATGGTTTGCAGCATGAAATTTCCCGTTTGCTCCACAACCTCCAAATTCAGAGAAAAATTGCCACCAGCTGTGCTTTCAACTTCTGCAATGCAAGTAAAGAACAAAACATCTTTAATGATAGTGTGGGTGGAGAAAAATTTAGGTAACCCCTTCTCCACTGAGAGTTGGTGAAGGTTGACTTTTGCAGTCCAATAGATGGAATAATGAGACTAGGCCAGAGGTCTTACTTTCCTGATAAGAAAAATGTACGATCAAGACGGAAATGTGTCCACAGGAGAAATGTCACCTGAACATGTTCAACAGCTTAAACATTAATCGATGTTACAGAAATAAGCTAAGTGACATATCTTCAGTTCCTGAGGCACCTTGCTCTCCTTTTCACGCTGTATCTTTGCACACACCGTTTCCTCTGCCATTCCTCAATCCACTTCTATCTCTCCACTTGGTCAGCTCCCACCCATCCTTCAAAACCCAACGCATATCACCATCTCAGTGCCATCCCCCAATGCCCCCCAAACAGAATTACCCATATTTGCCATGTATAATGTGCACCCATGTTTTTGGCCCAAAATTTCAGGAAAAATTTTAATTTTTTAATTCAATTTATTTATTTATTTATATTTAGAAACAAAACCAATTATCATATTCCAGGATATTATTTTACATATGGATATCATTATTGCCTTCTAGAGTAACACTTCTAATGCAAAGCATAGATAAAAAAAATTAAGAACATTTATATAGATATGGAATTAGTACTACCCATGTATAATGCACATCCTTATTTTTCCCTCAAAAATTTGGGCAAAAATATGCACATTATACATGGCAAAATATAGTAGATAGTTCCTCCTCTGTGATTCCAGATATACAATATTATATATTATACACATTTAACACTGATCACATTAAAATATAAAAAACCGTAAGGAAGCGGGGGAAAAATAACATGAGCTTTGTGATCAAAGATAAGAAACTCTACATCTCAATGCTTCCACTTACAAACTCTGTGTCCTTGAGCAAATTACCCAATCTCCCCAATGCAGCTCCATCTATAAGATGGGGGCAATAAGGGCCACTTTAGAATATGCGTGTGATGATGATATGAGATTGGCAAATAAAGGCGTTAGCACTGGACCTGACTCACAGTCAATACTCCGTAAGTTAGACTCCGCCCCTTTCTCCTTCCTACAAGGGCAGAAACATGCTCTTCATCACTGTGTCCTCAACATTGAGCACAAAACCTTGAACACACTAAGGATTTAATGCATGCAATCATGCAATGAATGTAATAACCGAGGACAAATAGGGGCCAGCTTTTAATCATAGAATGTCAGGCCTGGAAAGGGCCCTCACCCAATGGCACTTGACCCAATGGTCATTATAGAGGAAGTTCAGGGATGGAAAGCGGTGGCCCCAGAGAAGCACCCCCCACCCCTGCCCCGGTCCTGCTCCCAAACCAGAGTCTCCTACTGTTTCTCACTGCCAGCAGAGCATGCTTCCCTGCTTCTAAGTGTGGCAGATCTTCCCAGGGATGCATTTCAGCTGGCTTCTTTGCCCCAGACCTGGAGACCAGACCCAGTCTTGGTGGCTGCTTTAATACGAATCCCATCCAGCCATTAGTGGTTAAGGGCAGTTGCTCATCGTGCACGCTAGTATAGCTTTGTTCAAATTGGAAGTGATAGATGATTAACAGGCTTGAGAAAATGTGTTGTGTTACATTCAGAAAGGATGCAAATGACAAGAACATGCTGCCCCTTGGACAGACAGGGAAATGGCGGAGAGCAGAAAGGCTCCTTACACCTCCGTGTCTGGCGAGACGGTTTTATGGCACTTAGCAGCCCTGTGCGAAGGCACCCAAGGCATACCATAACTCTCACAAAACAGCGTTTGCATGTGCTAATGGCAGCTGAATCAGAAACACATGGATTTAATTTCCTTCAAAATACCCACGGGTATAAAAATCAATGCAGGAAAGCCATTTGGCTAACTCTATTTGGGGCTTTTCTGAGCCCAAAAATCGTGAGAAATTGTTGGAGATGGTTGCCGAGCTCCAACTCCCACCAGGTCCAACCCTCTCCGTGCACAGCCCTGGCCTAATGTGATGTGAAACCCCGGCTGTCTTTTTGGAGAGAGGCAGGTGCTTGCTGTGTGGTACCTTCACGGCTGCCATCTCCACAGATTTCCTGCTTTCTGCTATTAGTTCATTTGCTCAGCCTCTCCCACCACATAGCCGTCAGGGAGATCTCATTTTGGCAGCAGATCGGGATCCCTGCCTGAGAGTTGATAGAGGTTGAGCTATTTGCAGAAATAATGCTTTCCAGACGTACTAAACAGTCCCCCTCTTTCCAGATGGAGTGGCATTAGTGTTGCTTCCAGCCATTTCCTCACCTTCTGGTACACTTGTCAGTTCTCCCATATGCACCACAAGCCTTCTGTATTCTGGGGAATCTCGGAAAACTGCTCAGCCCCCCAGCTCCGTACCACTTGCATGCACAAATGTGTGCGCACACGCGCAAGCATGCACACACACATTTATACAGCTTCCACTCACGTATGCACATGCAGTTTTCTTCCCCCACCTCCTGGGAGTCAACTTAGATTTTCTGAGAGAGCTAATCACTAAATGGGATAGTTTAGCAGCTCAGGGAATTAGACAGGCATGAATACAGGGGACGTCAAAGGAGTCCCTTGGCTGTGCTGGATGTGTCTACCATTAGTAGCCGTCATCAACGACTGTGCTATTTACATTGTAATTCACATTGCCTTTTGGTGGCCTCTACTTTTCAATGTCAGGAGGATGTTAGTGAAGAGGCTACTTCCTGGCTCAAATAAACATCTTAAAAACTGGATTAAGCCTCCGTGTTATGGTTCATACATGAGACACTTTGGATTCGGGACCCCATTATATCACATTCATGTGCCATTTCCTTATTGAGAAATTGCCCGACTTGCCACATATTGTATTAACCCTGGATGGTTTCGTGCACCCAGGCCAGACTCAGGCCCTTCACCCCGATCACGTGCGGAGGTGCTCCCAGCTCCGGCTTCACTGCTGCAGGGGTCCTGACGTCGCTCTCCCCGCTCAAGTCTTCAGTCCAGCAGTCACGTGAAGCGTGGGGCCACATGGGTGGAAGTCCAGGTGGAAGCTGTCCTCAAGAAAAATGCTGTGTCTCCTTTGGTTTGCGATTCTTCTTCTTTTCTAATCTCCTCTTGAAGCTGAGCTCTCCTTTCTGGGGTGCGGGAGTTTTAAAGGGGGTGTTACGCAGGCAGAGCTCCCCTCTCCACTGCCCTCATCCCTCACTTTTGCTGGCTATTGTCCCTGTGTTCAAAACGGATGTGCTCTCAAAAATCTAAGGCCTTTTCTGTTTCCGCTCTCACAGAGGAAAGACCCATGCGTCCTGGGGTGGATTATGGGGTGAGTGTCTCAGAAGAGCCTGATGTTGGAAGCTCTCGATGCTACTATGTATTGTGCCAGTCAGGTTGTCAATTGCTAAACATAATAAAGACAAGATAAAACAGAAATCCATTTAAAAAAATACAAACCATTAGATATAACTAATACCTTCCTCTTTCAACTCAAGTCTTCAGTTATTAGTCAGAATCAATATATCCTGTGTGACCTTGGGCAAGTCACTTAACCTCTCTGTGCCTCAGATTTCTCACCCGTAAAATGGGTCTAACAATAGTAAATACTTCACTGGCCTGTTGTGTGGATTAAATAAGATAAGGCTTGTAGAGTGTTGAGAATAAGTTTGGAGTGCAGTAAGTGGTCTCTAAATTTAAGCTGATAATAAAACCATGGATTTTTTTTTTCCTGCCTCAGGGTAACCTTCCTTCCTATCACCTTCCATGCCTTTAAGGACTGAAAGACCTTGGCTCTCGGCCCAGCAATTGCCACTGGTAGATTTGATCACAGATTTGATCACGGTAGCACTTCTGGGTCATTGCAGTCATCTGCGTTCTTGTCCTTGATGTATGAGTTGAGTCCCTGATGGTCAGGCTTGCTCCTTAGAGACGTGGCCCGCATGGATGAGCTTTGTTTTCTTCTGGAAAGGCACTCCTGGTCATCTTGGGGAGGATCTCACACACTCCAGCCTACTTCCTGAATCCCTGCATCTCTTGATCTTGCTAGAATGGCAAGGATATGATCTTTTTGCACCCGATCGTGCTATGCCCTTCCAATCAGGAAAGGGCGGCGGGGGAGGGGGGGGGCGTGTTTCGCAAGGAAATAATTGCTTCATCTGATCAGGTGTGTGTCTTTCCACTTTGACCAAGTCTCCATATACCTTGGATCTCTCCTACCCAATGCTCGGCAGAATTGTCACGTTTCTTAAAAGCTCCAAACTTTTTTCTTTGATGATTCAAAACACATAAAAGCAATAACAAAAGCCTTCTTACAAGTTACAGCCAGTCTTTTAACACTTCGAAATGCATCTTATTGCTTGATTGATGTGTCCGTACAGTTTAAAGTACAAATCAACTGTTCCATATTTAACTGGTTGAGGCCCAGACTCCTGAATTCTGGAAGTCCCAAAGAGCAAAGCAGCACCCTCCTTAATTCTTTCTGGTACTGCTGTTGATAAAAGGAAATGAAATGTGCTAGTCAACACCCATTAACCCAGGCTTCTGATTACATTGCGAGACTTGCTCATTAAAGCAGGTACGGGGTGCAGAGCAAAAAGGAGGGGTTTCCATTTAGCCGTGATGGGAGTAACAAGTTGATCAGCATGACAGGCCAGCTCCATGAGGGGAAATACCTTAAACAATTCCATCAACATTGATTTACTTTATTTAACCAGGTGATATTTTAATGAGCCAACCCCTGTGCTCCCTGGATGACATGCTTTTTCAAACGGAGAGTATGCCACCTTTAAAAGAAAAAAAATCACTAAAAAAGCCCGAGAGTTGACACTTGCAGATGAGTCTAATTCCCTTTGTCCTATGGACACGCACTGTGTTGGGAGAGCTCCAAGTGCAGCGGGCTGATTTTTGCTGTCATCAGAACTGACCCTCGCTCCCCCAGGAGGCCCACAGCCTGTCTGCTACAATGACAGGGAAAGGAGCCAAGCTTCAACGTGGGGTCCTCAGATGTGTAGCACAACAGGCTACGACCAGCCCTGACGAGGGCAGCTGGATCACATGAATTTTTAAAGTAAATCAACTGATTTGGGGAGCGGGAGGGGGGGGTGAGAAGGAGAAGTGGGCCTTACTTTTTCCTCCTGTGAAATCCCCATGGAAGAAATGCATGGACCCAGCATGTTGATTTTGGCATTGGCACACACAGTCCCTCTGTTCTGAAGATGAGCTGACACGTGCAGATTTGCAGATCAGCCATTTCAAAAGGTTAATTAAATATTACCATTGTTTTCTAAGCTATTAATGTATGTTCTTTTACTTCTTCATGTGAAAGCCTTCTCCCTACTCAAAAATCAAGAGCTAGATTTGATTCCCAGTCCCTTTTTTTTTTTTTTTTAAATCAGGAAAGAGAATGACGAGACAGAGACAGAGGCAGGGACAGAGACAGAGCTTCCCAGGCCAGAGGCAGTTGCAGTTTGGAGCTGGGAAAGAGTCTGTGGCTGATGTTGTCTGAAGCGGAGCCCCAGAAATACATTCTCAGCTGCAGCTGAGGGATTAGCATCGTGCCATTCAAGGAAGGTTCTAGAAAAGCGTAGGAAAGGAACCCCTGCTCTCTCCATGTTTATTGACTTGCTGACGTAACTGACCCCACTGGAACTCAGGAACGTTGCGAGCCTTGGCCTTCAGTGGTTTTGAGGGAAGGTCAGCATGTGAGCCAGTGAGGACAGAGATAGGAACACAACATGCCCCGCTTTGCAGTGTCTGTCTGTCCCCTAACACCTCCAAATGACGTGTTTTCTCCCTGCCTGGCCTGTCCGGAGGGTGGCAGGACAAGGCTCTCAGTGCAAATGAGAGAGGGATTCCAAGATGGACGGCAGGGATAATAAGACAGAGGTCATGGAGAGGACAAGGCTCCTCTCCGGCAGGAAGTGCCACCCTCTGTGACTGCAGTTTACAAGAATCCTGAGCCGCGATGAGCACAGCAGTCTGCAGGAAACCTCTCCAGACAACCCATCTTGCCCAGCAAGCAGGACATGTTTTGTTTGCAAAGTAATAATGCCTCCCTAGATGTGGGGAGGAGACAGCTAACTTACGGTGTAATGAATGAAAAACAAAGGCGAAGAGGGAAGACAGGTTGGTGATGGAGTGCATGGGCAGGGTGCAACTGGCACTGTCAGAAGGGGAGGGGCAGGGCCGGGCCCAGTCTGGTGAGGACAAAATCCTGTGCAGCGCACCTACCCCGGATACCCACTTCCCCCTCCCCACCCTGCCACGTGCGGGCTGGTCAGTCTGACATGCCATTCACAGAGGCTCCGTGATGGAACAACATGGTGCTTACAGGTGCAGGCTCTCTGACTGGGTTTCTTTAATATTTCTTGATTTCTCATGTTTCCATTTTTAAATGAAATGCATGGACAAATTACAATAGTGCACGTTTGTTAAAATGATTCTTTAAAAATTTTTTGAGTGTCCAGCATATAATAAATGCTCTTGAAATGGGAGGACAGTAGACAAAAATGGAGTGAACACGGGCAAGCAGAGGGGAGAGGAGGAAGGTGCGGGAGTGAGTGGGCGGCCTGGACACCTTAGCCCTTCTGGAGCCATCTGTGAGGAAGCTCTCCAGGGGATCTTGGGTCCAGCTTCCCTGGATGAACTCATTCTGATTTCCTGCGGTCTTGACACAGCGTCCTGCTCGATGCTTGTGCCCCCCCTGCTCTCCTTTGCTGGCAGGGTCACTCTGCACACAGGTACCCACACCGAGAGCTGAGCCTGACCTGCAGGTGAAACTGACCAGGCAGGCAGGATGGAAGGCGCCAAAGGTGAATGGATGTTTGCACAGTCTGGAGCTGTGAAACAGAAAAGACAAGCATACATGTCCTCTGTGAGCATGTCGCAAGTGCCAAGGTGCAGCCTCCAGCGGAAAGTGCTAGATCTCCTCTGAGATAGTTGTCCAGCAGGCAGGGGTGGACAGGAAATGATGTAACAGATACGAGGACCTTGGGCTGAATCAGCTCCGCCCAGATATGTACTGGCACCTACTGTCAGCCAGGGCCTTAACGAAATGTCACAATGCATTGAGCCAAGCCCTGTTTCTCATGGAGCTTTTGCACAGCACAGAGACCAGAGTCCAAGAGAATTAGCAGCAGTAACAGCGAATCACACAATGCTGAGCTGGAGAGTCAGGCTACGATCAGGTAGCCAGAGTCATGGGAGAGAGCTGCAGAAAGCCCGTGCCGGGCAGAGGACAGCTAGTCTGAGTCAGGCAGGTACAGTGCACTCCCGCAGGGCTGTCTTCTTTGGCACGGTAGCCACCCTACCGCCCCCATGTTCGGCAAATGGGCAGCAGTAAGGTCATGCTCAAGCCCACTGGCTGCAGGGAACTGATGTGAAGGTGAACAGAACCCCTACACCCTGGTCTAGAAGCAGGCTCCTGGTTAGGGTTGCCAAATTTGGCAGATGAAAATACAAGATGTACAGTTAAATTTGCATTTCAGATAAGCAATTAATAATTTCTTAGTTTAAGTATATCTCCTGAAAATTTGGGGAGAAACTCATAACTAAAAAATGATGAGTTGTTTCTCTGAAATTCTCATTTATCTGGGCATCTGATTTTACCTGACAACCCTATCCCTACCCGACACTGGGCCCTCAAGAGAGTGCTTTCTGCAGAATGGAATTCAAAGAGAACTGAGTCTGCCTCTCTCCAGGGGCCGAAGATGCAAGAAGTTTTCTCCATGTGAAGCAGGCCAACCTACCTACCAAGGGAGAGACTACGATGAAGTCAGAAGTCAGTGATAAGCAGAAACATAGAGAGCAGGAGTGCGGATGGAATTTGAGGCCACAGTCAATTCTCTTCCTTGCCCGTCCTACAGCTTGGTTATGCTGCTGTCTGCTTTCAGACCCCTAGTCCCTGCCCAGCCCCACCCTAGCCCCCAGCTCCTGTGGTCAGAGGAGAAAGCAGAGGCATTTTAATTCATCAGCTCAATGGTAACCAAGTCAAGTAAATGCATCTTTGGCACAATAAGGCCAGGGTTATATGGTACTTGGTCCAAGCCATAGTGCAGGAAGAAATGCCATTTCTTGTATAGACCAGACTGGGTGTTTTTCAAAAGGAAAATTAATCCTCAGGATGGTGAATTACATTTGACTTCCAAATTTAAGGAGAATAAAAGCCAGAATTTAAACACATACTTTCTCCCCACACTGCCCACGGAGCCAGAAGTCCCTCTGCAAACCAAGCATGACAAATTATTTACCACAAATAATAGACCCTGGATTTATAACCTATAAAGAGCTCTTACACACTAGTAGGAAAAACACTATCAGCACCTTCCCTAAAAAATGGGCAAGAGGCTATTTGCATAGGAAATATGAGTTTCTAACAAACATGAAAAAAAGGTTCAACCTCATTGATAAGCAAATAAATATAAGAAAAAACATCAAAATGGTTTTTCAGGCTGTTAAATTTGGAAATTAAGAAAATTAATGCTACTGAATGCTGGCTGGGGTGCAACAGAGTGAGCACATTTTGCACTAATGGTATATCCCTCATATAAAGAGAACTTCTGCAAAATAATAAATGGCAAAGAGTCAAGTAGGAAAATGGGCAAAGTGTTTGAGCAGGCAATTCACAGAAGAGATTCAAGTGGTAACGATAGATGAGATATAGATATCGATTCAGATTGGGGTGTAGATTGATATAAGTGCTCATCCTCACAATCAGAGAAGGTCCACATAAAACAAAATATCAATTCTTAGCTTATGCTGTCGTAAGTACTGATAACTCCTATTCTGGGGAAATAGGCAGTCTCTCTACAAACTGCTGGTAGACAGAACTAGTCCTACAGCAATTTAACAGAATAATTCAGCACTATCTATTACAAACACATGAAATCTCTGGGATCTCTGTTTATTCCTTAGAGAGAACAATTTTTTACTCTCCTCCTAGTAAAAGAAAAGTCACGGTTCTTACTGTCTCAGGAAGTAATAATCACTCCGAGCTTCCCTCTTCTCCAATTTAAAAAATCCATTTTGGGCAGACTTATTGGGGGATCATTTCATAAGTCATATAAATGTCTGAAACTAACACAATATTGAATGTTGACTGTAATTAAAAAATAAAAAATAATTTTAAAAATAAAAAACACATTTTTAAAGTTTTCAAACAATGGGTTTTCCCCCCTGTATTTTGATCCATTTTACCTTTATTGCAGGCAGTCTTTGATGAATCATCCCTCATTTTTTAACATTCCATTTAGACTGTGGTGACTGATATGGTCATGATACCACTCTTAAAAAACAAAGCTTAAATGCCAACGACTGTAACAAAGTAATTATGTTCTCAGCAGAGAGGGGGAAACAGTGACTGAGCGAATGAGGAAGGATCCTCTGCATCCTGGAAATGCAAGGAGCCTTTTGCTGATATGCAGCCCGTTCCTCCTCTCCCTTCCCTTGGAATTTTTCCCACTGCCCCTTCAGCTACGCACCCTATTCCCTCCTTCAAGATTTCCCTGGTTCTTGGGCAGGAGTCCCTGAGCCTGGAATCCTGCCGCATCCCATCTTGTCAAGCTGTCTCCTGCAATCATTCGACCAGCTCCTGAGATCCCGCTTCCTGCACAAAGCCCTCCCCAGCTGAGAGCAAAGTGATTTTCCTCCAGCTTCCCACCTGTTCCCAGCCACTGGGGCTCCCTCCCTCCTTCCATTGTTTGTACCAAACAGCAGAGAGCTCAATGTCATCCTGTCCATTAAATGGCTGCAGCGTCTTGCATGTCCCTTTCTGTGTCTGTTTGTGTCCATGATGGCTGAGGCCCGAATTTATAAATGTGCTTTGCTTGGATCAGCAAAGCAGGAAGAGGTGAGTGACTGTTTACGTTCTCGGGAGATCACCTTGCAGAGCATCACCAAGGATCAAAGTTCCCTGGCTTGGTAAACTAGCCTCGCTTTTAGGGTCAAATATGCTCCCTGCGAGACTTACATGAACCTTTCTGTGCCTGCCTCAGGTGTCCTTGAGAGAGATATGCTAAGGTAAACTGGCAAATCTGCAAATTAAACTAACAAGAGTTGAGTTTAGTGGAACGGAGACCTGGCTTTCCTTGAAGTGGTTAAAAATGCCACTGACAACTGAAACTAAATATTAGAACCTGCCCTCGCACAATCACATTTTCCTCTTCCATGATTCAGCATGACTCTAACTGAACTGGATAACACAAAATTAGAAATCTGGTCTCTAGGACTATGAAATACCTTTCACTGGTAACATAGGTAGGAAATTTTCTTCTAAACCTTTTTCTTCAGATTTTGTTTCTATCCACCATTAAAATTAATTTCACACCCATTTCCCTCCTTATGCCTTTGGGAAAGACGCTTGCTTTTACAGCCTTCTCTGAATGTCAAAACAAAAGCCCCCTTATGCTTCCTGGAATCTCCGAGATCCTTTTCTGGTAAAGAGAAAAACAAATGTGCTTGAATTAAGGCAACCAGGGAAGTACTGGCTGACAGCAGATCAGAACCAACGCTCCTCAACTCCCCTGAACTGGTAGCTCCAATATCAATAGACAACAGGAAACAGGAGGATGCCAGGAATCACCCAGGGTTTTCTCACTTCCTTGTCCTTCATGTTTCTCTAAAGTGTTGTATGGATTTTTGTGAGCCACAATCTGAATGACATACATTTAGCGTGAGATACAAAGATTTGTTTATAATATTATACAAAATTATATTCCATAGCCAACAGTGTTTCTGAAGAGCAAAGGATTTTTTTTTTCTTTCCCCTCCTCTGTAAGGGAACAAGAGAAACAAAACAAGCTCAGCATCTAAATCTCTGGGCTGTTTGAGTAATGCTTTTTTATTTTATATAGGCACTGACAAAAATACCCCAAGGAGGACAAACAATAATATGTAATAAATTATAGATGCTAGAAAATTGAAGGGCATTATGCTTCAGCGTTTCTGCCTTCTAATAAACCGGCAGGGACGAGACGCCCTTTTTCATCTGTCTGCTTGCAGACCGTTTGTTCGTTCACACCCACTGTGTCGTGGGTCACCTGCGCAGGACCTCGGCAGACAAACTGTAAAAGCAGGTGAGTGGCCGCTGACTGCTGAACCCTGCCTCCCTCCTCCTCAGGCCATCTGACTTGGTCCAAGGGCATCCTTGAGAGTGGAGAGAGATGAAGGATGACTCTCGTCTGAGTCGCGAGGAGGGGCTGCGAAGACCCGCAGGTCCCAGTCTCTGCAGAACCTTTGTCAGCGTCAAGGTCTCCAGTCCCTCCTACACCAAGCAGACAATCCCTTCCCCAAATCCAGAAGATCGGCAATAATTGATTTGGCTTCCAGCCCGTACCCTTCTGGTGCAAAAGCAACAGCACAGTTCACTAGGTCTTTCAGATTTCTCCCTGCCCTCCCTTCAAGAGAACCCTCGCGTCTGATTAAAATCGGTAATGCGTTGGTCCTGGAGTGAAGAGGTGCTATTTATTTCTGTCAAGTTCTGCTTGAAAGGTTTGAGGCTTCCTCCTACCAGACATTTTACTAGTAAACAGAAAAGTTACCCATATTGTCATGCTTGCCCTGACCTGCGGAGCTAGTGAACAATAAATCTTAATTACAGTTAAATGCCAAAATCTTCAAAGAACGAGACAGCCCTAGTCAACTGTGAATTGGTTCGACTCCTCACCTCGGCTGGGGTGCAGCTGCAAGAATACATAAATTAGTTTGTGATTTGTTTGTGCTGGAACAATCAGGCCAAGCATTTCCAGTATCAGTGGACGCACTGGCATTCATCCTGTGCAGGTGGCATCTGGGAAGTTGTATTTTAAAGGACTTTCAGCATTATGCTTGGGTTAATAAGAAAGCACTATTTCTAAATATCTCGGCAGTTTTCCAAAATAGCGCTCAGTCTCCTGACATCTGCTCCGTCCATACTTGTTACCTTTGGGTTTATTCTGGGAACTGCTGAATAACCTTTTTGTGAGCACCCTCCCTTGGCGCTGTGCTGGGCCACCAGAGCGCGAGGCAGGCATCCGCACAGGGGTTTTCTAATTTTTTTTCCTGCCGCTGCAAAGCTCAGGAGCTCCTTGGTATTCAAGTGTTTGCTTGTCATAATGCTAAATAAAGCCACCCCGTTGTCCTCTTGCCTGGGTCCTCTTGATGTATTGGCACCTATATGCAAGAATTAGAGAGGTGATTGCAGACATAACTCTGTTCAATGGCTCTGGGCTGTTCTATCAATTTTGAGACTGACAGAAGATCAGAGAGGGAACTCGGAGGCAAGAATGGAGTTTGGGCTGCTAGGGCTCGGTCCCATGAATCAATCTGCAGTCGGCTCCTATTATTTTAGATGCAGATCCTGTTCTCACCGGGAGTCAGTCACCTGCCAGGTGTGCCTACCCTCAGTTTTCTAAATGAGAAGGCAGGCCCTATTCCCAGGCCTCTGCAATCAGCAGCGGGTAATGGCAGGCCGGGCATGAGTTGCTATTTTACTCATTACTAGACGGGCGTTTAAGAGGAGAAGAGGGAAGTAGAAACACCCTTTCCCAACAGAAGTTGGGGGATACAAAAATAGGCAGAAATTGGTTCTTTCTGTCATGTTCTGAAGACGAATGAAAGAGGGAGCAGAACTGGGTACTTGACAGCGATGTCACTTTCACTTGGAATCCCCTGCAGAGAGCCCTCTCTTGCTCGCAGAGGATGCCGTACCCCCACCAACCCCCGCACAGCCCCCTCCACCCCTGCCCCCCTGGGCTCTTCCCGGCTCTGGCAGGGCCCCATCCTGTCACCAGCAGTCCTGCTTCCTGTTTGTGTTGCTGCTTTGTTGCTTCCTGGCGGTCACCCCGAGCCCGCCCTTCTGCTGAGCCTCCACCCTGGGACTGGCTCCCTTCCCAGCTCTCGCTTGTGCTTGCAAATCTGTCTCTGTCTCCGTGTAAACCCCACGTTTTTCAGGTCTCTGTCCTGGTCCTGATGCCTCTGCCACCAAGCGTGCCGGGTGAGGCTTGGCCTCTCACACATGCTCCGGTTCTCTTCAGACCCTCATGGGAAGAGCTCGTTCAAAGCATTTTGGCATGTGCTGTCTCACCTGCTCTTTTGCAGACAGGGCAAGGGTCGTTTCCTGCTTTTATGGATTGAGAAAGAGGCCCAGAGAGACTGCAGCACTGAGTGGTCCTGGGGAGGAGCGGGACCCTCTCAGGCAGGCTGTAGGCAGCGCAGCGGCAGCCACTCTCACGGAGACCACCCACCCCGTGTCCCCTTCCTACTGCACTTCCAGCAGCACATGCATTATTGCATTTCATCTACACAAGCACTGTGCCAGGTAGGCGTTATTAGTGTTATTTTAAACCATGGAAACGGAGGTTCACAGAAGCTATTATCCTGCCCAGGGTCGTGCAGCTGACACATTTGTCTGACTGCATGCTTGTCTCTGCAGGTGCCTCCGAGCTTCCCCTACAACACCCTTACTTCACCCAGGTCTCTGCTCTGATGCCGCCCCCGCAGATGAAGCTGCTTCAGATAGAGTGCTCTGCCTCCAACAGCTCTCTGTTACTTTCTGTCCCCTCACCCATCTTAATCCTTCTTTGGACTTCTATCACTACCAGATATTATACATGTACTTACTTGTCTAGCTGTTGCTAGCCTCTGTATGAGGTCAGGGACTGGGACCATTTTGCTTACTGCTGTCTTCCTGGTGCACTGCAGGCACTTAATAAATATCTGTGGAAGGACAGAAAAGAGGGAGGGAGGGAAGAAGGGAGGAAGGAAAGAAGAAGGCTGCATTTCTTTCCAGCTTGAAGCTAAAACACTCATACTTGACCAGGTTTCCAGAGGTGACAGGCAACAGTCACACCTACAACAGAAAACCAGGCACGAGGCGGCCTTGTTCAGGATTCTACCATAAACCGCTAGTAGATTTAAGACTAAACCATCAAATTCTCTAACAAGCTAAGTCATTGCCAATTTTCTTGGCAGTGGCTTCCTACACCCTGCAAATTCTTTCTAGGAGCTGCTTGACTAAGCTTCTTGAAACTTTCTTCCTGTGTCCTGCAAAATTCTTGCCCAGGTGTCACCAGTCCAACTCCCTGCACTTTGGTGGCTCCTGGAAACAGAAGGTTCCAAGCCTGTTGAGTTGACCCATGTGTCATCCAGACAAGAACATGGTAACCCCTACTGCCTTCCCTCTGGTCTCTCTCCAGATCCATATTTAAAAACAAACAAAAAAAAAAGTCAAAGCATATCATTGTTATGTTTGTCTTGATCCTGAGAAGTAACTCCTCTCACTGTTTAGTACTAGTTTCCTCGTGCTTAGAGGATCCCAGAGGAAACGTTTGGGCCAGGATCCTACTGGAGACCCCTCCAGAGTAAGCCCCACTAGAAATCCCAGAAGTACAAGAGAGCCCCTCAGAAACAGCTCTGCCTTGTGGGAACTTGAACTTATTACCTCCAAGCTGCAGAGAGCCAGCGAGGTAAGGAAGACAGCACATTTGCAAGTCTATTTCTGGCCTCTGCCTCTGGGCCCCAGAAAGAGACATCAGCAGAAGTCAAATGTGAGGCAGCAAATTTGACGTGTGAGATTAGACTAAGGTAAAACATCCAACTGCTCTCCCATTTCTCTTTTTCTTTTAGCAAGTAAACTTAATAGAGATGAACCCCAAAAGAAGATCTACACTAAACTTAATGCTCGCACCCTTCCTGGTACAATCACGGTGGCTTGCCCGAAGTGACTAGAGGACACCACCGTGTGGGTGGTGGGTGAAGGGGGCTAAGAAAGGTGTGAGGCAGCTTTGGACTTCAGCTCCAAGGAGACGGGCATTTCGATTACACTAGAATATACATTGAAG